CAAAGGTTGCCATTTCATTTGTTTATTGCTTTACAAAAACTATCATATGCACTCAAAATCCTAAATTTAAAAAAAGTTTACAGGAATCAAACAATCAAGCGAGCAAGCTAGTGCCATTCTCTGCATCATTTCTACCGCTCGCTCTTGTGCATGCATGCAATTCACAAGTTAAAAAGAACTCCATAATCTCTTGTGGGACTGGTTACCCCAACTTGTGTCTCATCCCCATGAGAGTATCCAGTGCCAGCTAGAGATACCACATCAATCTATTTAACTATTCACAATCGCAAGAGGAGCTTTTCAAGAGGTTTCTTTTTCATTTTTTAGCCACACAATATGTCTACTTCAAATACAAAACCAATTACATCAATGTATCTGACTATTCACAGTATCTCAAAACAGAAACTTTTTCATGTTGCTTTTTTAATCAACCATATTTTTTCCCTTTACTGTATATTTAAAAGATTTAAGTACAGTGGAAGGCACATTTGACATAGTAAAAGCATGTGTAGGGTGGATGTGGTCCATAACCCATGCATGCTGCAAGTGTGCAGTGGGTATGGGATGTCTCAAGTGAATGACCACGTCCATGTCCTTGCAGTGGTTTGTCTGTCTGGGTACCTTTATACAAGCTTGTAGCCAAGTCGTGTCTGTTCAGTCGATATGTTTGTGTACCTTTTTGTCTCATTGTCGGTGTAGAGTGAAAGAACCAGAAGCCAAAGTGGAATGGTGACCACTCTACTTTGCTTTGGCATGAGCCTAAAGATTGGGACAGGGAGGTGGACGGGGATGGAGAAAAACAATTCTTGTGTACGCAAAGGTGGTGAAATAGATGTGGGTGAGAATGGGGTACATGAATCATTAGTGGATGGGGTGCATGATGTCAATGGTGTGTTTGTTTGGAAATCCTTTTCCCCAAAACTTCAAAGAGGTGACTGACCAAAGCTCATTGCTGAACACTGGTACTCTTCTGTCTGCTTCTCCAGTGAAAATCTGTTTTATACCTTTACACCCAATTTGTTGATGGAAATTTTTGTTTGTTGATCTTGAGGGCAGTTACAGAGTGTTGATCACCAAGTAAAATAAACTTTTTGTCAAAGTGATTTTCTTCGTTGATTTAAGAGTTACTACAATTTTGAAAGTGGCATGTTGATGTTGAGAGAAAATGGTTGAGTTTGGTATCAATTTGTTGACTTTGACACATATATACATTCTTGCATTTTGCTACAAAATGGCGACCATAGTAATATGCTATCAATCAAATAGGTTGTGAGAAGAAAAAGGAACAATCAACAAGTTTAAAAGGTTTTTATTAATCAAATTCTAATCACATGGCCCTGGTTGTCCAAGAGCTGATCAGCACTAGCCCACAATTAAATCGCCCTAACTCAAGATTAAAATTTAACACATGATTAGTTTCTTTTCCTCAAAGCGTGATAAGCACTATCCCAGGGTTAAAATAAAGGTTAACTTTAACACACCTAGCGAGGTGAATTAACTCACTAATCAAGGGAAAACTTTCTCCAAACAAAAAAAAATGGCCATCTTTTTACTTGGCGGATTAGGCTTCATGCTGGCCCCACAAAGGAAAGAAAGGACATTAGGGCTACCAGATGACTTTTCCCTGTCAAATTTTCTTGATGAAGAATTTAGAAGTCAATATCATTTTGGCGGAAAGTCCATAGAATTTTTATATGAGCTCCTTTGCAATGATCTCAAAAGAAATACATCTCGAGACCATGCCTTCTTGACAACATATGCTGCCTGTTTTAGGAAAGATTTCTTTTTAGTTTTTTGCTTAGTCATTAGTACTACCGTACTAATGGTGTTCACCAGTACTACAGTACTATCAGTACGTATGATAACTGAGTCATTAGCATACCAACGTACTAGCGTACTAACTACACTTCTCGAACAAGCATGAATGACTTGCGTACCAACGTACTAGGATTCGATTAAAGGAATACATGTGTCTTGTGTACCAACGTACTAGCGCACTAACATCACCTCACGAATTATCACAAATGACTAGCATACTAACGTACTAGCGTTCTATTAAAGGAATGGAACCTAGCAGACTTGCGTAAGGCAGTCTGGTACTAAGTTGACCATTTTTTGTTTTTGAATGTGGTATTGCGGTGAAGAACAACTAGCATTGCGGTGTGGCTCGAACCAACGGTTTTCAATGAAATAAACCATTTCCAAGTTGCAGTCTATTCTCTAACCCTTTTAATAACTAGGTTTTGATAAAACCATGGTAAATTGTCCAACAAAATAAGCAATAAATCCGAGTTAATCTTAATAACATTGGGTAATATTTTACTTGAACCCTGGACCTCCATCACACGCACTGTCAGCCAGCCAAAGACAGGCGTGTGGTAAAGATGACTGAAACCAAAACAATTAAATGCTGAGACTTATATCACGATGTCGGTGCTTTGGTAATATTTTCGAGTGATACGGAGTTAGTTCTATTTTGTTTGCAGTTTTGCGGTATTCAGAACCCCCCATGGCCTCTCTGATAATAATCTTGTTTACTTGTTGCCAATTATAATAATACTCTTCTAATCCAGAGCCTTCTCATTCCCATTTTGAGGTGGTAAATATCCCAAGTACCAACGTTTTTTTGAAAAGAAAACGATGCGCAATTGTGCTTTTAAATTACTATTGACGATTTCTGCAAAACATTAATATTTGATTCTTTTTATCCTTTATGGCCTTTATGTTGTTTTTGAACGGAGAAATACTCCAGGGTTTAAGAAAGTGTTCACTACTGTGCCGACTATCTTTGAATTATTTTTGTCACCATAGCTTTCATAGTTATCATGGACTTTGAGCCTGAACTACGTTACTGTTTTTACTGTATTTCCGTTCTAATATAGTTTATTGCTGTTGTGTTTGAACTTGGCATTTTCAGTGTGATTGACGAATTTCTAGCTAAAACCCTAATATTACCAGTTGCACATTCAAAAATTTTGACACAAATTTCCCTCCAATTATAAGCCCAGCCAATTTTGAAATGCAAATGTCCCTCCTATAATATAATTAATAATAATTTTAAAAAAAAATAAACCCCGCTAAAAGGTCCTTTTAAAAATATAAGCCTGGGGCTTATTTTCAGAATTTTACGATATTTTAACCACTTGAGCCAATTCAGCTACTTTCTTCATGGTTCGTACGCTTTTGACTTTCTGACATTCCATGACTTTCCATGACTTTTTCCATGACCTTTTCCGATTTTCCATGACCCAATTGTTCAAATTATTTTTCTCAATATATACTTACAGTACCATCAATTCGTTTTTTTCCTTGCATGTTAACCAAATTGTAGAAAAGAAGAAGATGCTAAGACCAGTTAAATTCATACGTATAACACGGAATCTTTATTTCCGTGCAACAAAATGACACAAGTGCAACAACACGACGTAAACAGATACTTTTTTTTACTAAACTTTACAGTCCAGAACTATATCTTTTAAATTTCCTAAGATAAACTTTACAGTCCAGAACTATATCTTTTAAAATTTCCTTATAAAACTGTACAGTCCAGAACTATATCTATTAAAATTTCCTAACAAAATCTATACAATGCAGACTTAATTTCCTAACAAAATCTGTACAATCCAGAACTATATCTTTTAAAATTTCGTAACAAAAACTGTATAATCCAGACTTAATTTCCTAACAAAACCTGTACAGCCCAGAACTATAAAATCTTAATTTCCTTACAATACAGTCATTGTTTCAGTGTTCACAATTGCAGTATGAGGTTTCAGTTTTCATCTACAATATAGAAAAATATATGAGTGCATCCTTGTATGAACAAATCTATTTGTTCAATGGTTAAATGCTTGCAATTCTGGTAAATAACTTCAAGAAAGCAGTACTTTTGGACAGGTTGTCACTCGGACTTATTTATCACACTCTTCCAATTCCTTGTTTAAGTTTTCTAGTTCTATCTTCTTCTCCTTTGCTGCATTTCTGAGTGCATTTGATTCGGTTAACAAGACGAGCTGCCTCTTCACCTCAGCCTCTTTAGCTAATTTGTCAGCATCAAACTGTAAGGTGGTGATCTCTGTTTCAAGTCTCTTCTTTTTCTTCTGGAAATCAGCTTTTGCTTCATCCACAGATTTTCGTTTGTGGCTTTTGGCAACATTTTTCGCAAGCTGTCGCTGCTCTTCAAGATGGGCGTGATACCGCTGTCTTCCTGCTTTAGCAGAGGTAAAAGCTCGTTCGAAATGACCAATTTATGAAATCCATCAATACTCAATATGTGGTCATGAATGGTGCGTTGGGCAACGAAAGTGGTCTCCTTCATATTCTCAATCATTAGCTGTCGGTTAACGGAAAATCCCTTTCTACACTTGCTTGCCCATGTGAGAGACACAAGAGGAATTTCACAACGTCCCACAGTTTGGAAAGTGAACCGACAAGACCAATGTGTTTTTGGAGAAATGCATCCAATCTCTGATCTGTAAAGTCAAAGTCTTCAAACTCAGACTTGTGCACCTGTGTAGCCCGTTCCGTAAATTCACTGTACTGTGACAACAAAATGTCACAATCATGAATATCAACCCTCTTGCATTCTACCAATTTCTTGAGGACAATCTTGAACCTCGCACAGCTTGCTTCTTTCTCTGTCACAATATGAATCGGATCCAAACAGCACAGGTTCCTGGCAAGGGAATAGGCAATTGGGGTCTTCTCAATAAGTTTTCCAACTGTAGCTGTAAGGAACGACTGGAATTCCTTCCTAAATTCATATGTCTGACGATCACTGATTTTCTTGGCTGCTTGCAATTCTTTCAGCTTCGTGGCAGCAACAAAACCAACATCCAACTTCTCCACGTCAAGGCAATTCTCCCTCTTCTTGAAGTCAATCTTCAGAAGCTTTACTGCAGAGCTGGCACCCTGGAGTACATCAGCTTTGACGAACCTTTTCATGAGACCACGAATCACCTTCTCTAGACTGCTGGCCACAAATGGTAAGAGGGCTGTCGCTTTGGAACTGTACCAGAAATGGTTGCAGCTGTTTAGCCACTGACTCAAAAGCAGCAAATTTGAGAGGCATTAGTGGATCTTGGGTTGAATCTCTTATCGTCTTGTAGGACTTTGAAGTTGGCACACTATATTTGCTGCTACGTTGCACCGTTGTCACATAGAAAGTGACTTCTTTCCATATTTCCTGGGCCCGTACTACAACTGGCAGGTTCTCCAGCCATCTGTGCTTGCAGTACTTAATTGGAAATACAACACTGCTGGTTATTTCTGTGTAATCCTCTCTTCGTGCTGGTGAATCCACAAATAACCAATGAAGAGAAGACAGAACTTCCTGAATGCTCCAAGTAGATGCCTTTGATCCAGCTTTGAAAGCATTGTGTACAATGTGAAGTCCACAAGAGCCTACGTTAACTAAGATGGGTGCGTTTTCGTCAACCTCAGAGATCAGTTCCTGGAATAGCTCATGCAGTTTCCAATTCACGTTAGGCCCGTCCATTGACAACTGCAATATGTTGGACTTCTGAATCTTGATACTATCAAGGTAGCTAACGATCTTTTCCAAAAGGTCGTCGGCTGTAGCATGTCCCAGAAATACAGAGGTTAGGTACCTTGTCTGCACTCTGGAGTTCTTTGCATCCCAAAACCTAACATGCAGATCCATCTGCTTGGTTTGGGTAACTTTATTGTGCGATTCATCAAAAAGTAAAACAAACAATTCAAGTTTTGTGACTTCATCCGTAAGCTTACGTTGGAAATAGGGTGCTATGCCAAAACAAGCTAAGTAAGCACATTTTTTCTCGCCACAGGAAAACTTGCTGGCTATCTGGCTGTCCGGAAACATACGTTTAAATAGTTCTGGAATGTCCTCACAGCTCTTGTAACTATAGTGAGACAAGATTACTTTCAGTGCCCACAAAACTTCTGCAGCAAGTGTCTCATTTGAAGCCACATAATTTCTTATATCACCGGCACCGGAAGAACATGGCTGTTCAGAGCGTCCTACTTCATGTGAACCACGCTGGCTTCCAACAGCAGGTAAAAAGTTTCTGAGGCTGGCATTGCTACTCTCGTCTAAAATCAAATTAAAAAATGTTTGTTTATGAATATCGTCAAAAATGAGCCCTAATTAAATGAATTTACTGTCACAGAAATCCTGGAATCTCAAAATTTCACAATAGCCTCATCGAAATTGCAATCCACTTATAAAAATAAACCATATTTTACAGGCGCCACAACAGAACTGAAGGAGGGGGGGAAAGCCATAATTAATCCCAATGCTGAGCCACAAATGTCAAGGAAAAATAAAAACTCACTTTTAGTGTATTAGTGTTGTATCGCATAGTATTAACTATTGTATAAATTTTGTATTAATAAATAAAGATGCGCTAAATAAAAAAATATGAAATGGCCGTTTTGCTAGTCCCTCATAATACATTAACTTTATATCTGAAATTTAATATACCTCCGAGTTTAGTCCCACCGGCCCCCAACCACCCCCCCTGCAGCCTCTCAAAAACTCAAAAGAACACTCTTGCCTAAACATCGGTACAATCCATGCATTATCTTTGTCATCCCGAAATTAAAAAGACATTTATTTATATTCTGTCGCTTTAGATGACAAATTCTTTTGTTCTGTTTGATTATTTTGCCGATTCTTATTACACCACAGCACTTAAATCTATGTTATACCCAATACAGGCTGCATCCTAAATGAATCACGAGTTGGTACAAATATCGAGACAAATATCTAACGCAAACATGCATTTTCTTGTCTTGATGCAAACTTTAAATTCTAGTAAATTCAAATTTGAACACACAAACGTACCTTTAACAGCATCGACGTGCTTCTTCGATTTCATGTGGCTTTTCACTGCTGCTTCTCCCATATTTTGAACAGCGAATGTCTTTTTGCATGCTTTACATTTTGCCTCTGACGAAGAACTCCCGCGTTCTATCCACTTATTATACTGCGGGTTACTCAGCCAAGCATCTTGGAATTTGCATTTTCCAGGCATTATATATTAAATCTGCTTGAATGATCGCTCAAGCTCATCTTTACCTCGTGGCAGGCCTGGTCGCATGGCGATGCTGGGACTCGGCCCCAGGTCTCAGCAAAAACGTATCACACGGTATCGGGGGAAAAATGCGCGTTTGTCGTTGCAAACACGTAAACAAGGAATAGTTTATTAAACAAAAACTTGTGAAAGCAAGGAATTTTCTTTATTTTCATCTCGGTTTTTGTCAAAATGTCAAATTATAAATTCAATTTTCCATTTTTTTTTTTCGAAATTCCATGACTTTTTTCCATGACCCGTACGATCCCTGCAGAAAACCCATTGAGCTTTCCAGGCCTGGAATTTTTTTTTTTGACCAGAATTTTATAATCCATGATCTTTCCAGGTTTTTGGGTGTCCAATGTTTACCCTATATTTTTAAAAGAACCTAAAAATTGGCATGAGTTATGTTTGAATACTTTACCTCGTTTCTGCTTTACTGCTAAGAGCCATCACATGATAAACGTATTTTTTTGGGAAAAGGGATCAGCCTCGAACCATGTTAAAATTATCCGCTTTATCTTCCTCTCAAATCAATATTTCATAAAAATGTTTAATTATAATTCAGAACCTCAGGGGTCTTTTCTGGATGACTTTTAAGTCATGTAACGATTCGGTTTTTCGAGGTCAGCGTTAAAAAAATAGCCATTTCGACGAAGTCTTATTTATCAGATAACTAGCTTGAATATGTTACCTTGAACGAGATAAAATCGAGATGTTTTATACACTAATCGTTTTTATCCCAAGAGAGGGGTACTAAAGTGTGGTGTCAGCCTCGAACATTTTCTGTTTCATTCGTTCCGGAGAGTACGGAGAAACTTCGATTAGGACAGTTACCACTCACACTCACTACGGTATGTTCATTTGTTTAGCACGTGAGTACTTTAGTACTCGGTACGGACAACTCATCACGGCATGTTCTTCATTTGTCTAGTGCCTTAGTACGTTAGTACTCAGTACAGACACTCACCTCGGCATGTTTACTTCTTAGTACGTTAGTACTCAGTACGGACCACTCATCATGGCTTGTTTATTTCTTAGTACGTTAGTACTGTAGTACTCGGTACGGACGACTCATCACGGCATGTTTATTTGCTTAGTACGTTAGTACTGTAGTGCTCGGTACGGACAACTCATCACGGCATGTTTATTTGCTTAGTACGTTAGTACTGTAGTACTCGGTACGGACAACTCATCACGGCTTGTTCTTCATTTGTTTAGTGCCTTAGTGCATTAGTACCTTAGTACTCGGTACAGACACTTGCCACAGCACGTTTATTTGCTTAGTACGTTAGTACTGTAGTACTCAATACGGACAACTCATCACGGCTGGTTCTTCATTTCTTTAGTGCCTTGGTACGTTAGTACCTCAGTACTCGATACGGACAACTCATCATGGCTTGTTTATTTCCTTAGTCCGTTAGTACCGTAGTACTTGGTACGGACAACTCATCACGGCGTGTTCTACATTTGTTCAGTGCCCTAGTATGTTAGTACCTTAGTACTTGGTAGAGACACCTCATTACGGCTTGTTCTTCATTTGTTTAGTGCCTTAGTACGTTACTACCTTAGTACTCGGAACAGACACTCACCACGGCATGTTTATTTGCTTAGTACGTTACGCAGGAAAAAATATCTGATTCCCAAATTGGGAATTTCTAAGAAATTCCCAAAGTTAAATCCCAATAACGGGTATTACATGGGAATTTGCATGAAATTCCCAAAGTAAAAACCCAGCATTGGGTATTACGTGAGAAAGTATATGCCAAGATTGGGAATTAGTTAGGATTTTGTTACAGGAAAAAGTACAAATTCCCAAAATTGGGAATAATAAAGAAACTCCCGATGTAAAACCCAATATTGGTTATTACATGAAAAGCAGTGTACCAATCTTGGGAATTTAGTGGGACTTTTAAGACTTTTTCCCAAACTGAAACCCCAATCCTGGGTATTACACAAGAATTTCAATAAATTTCCCATTGTTAAAACCCAACATTGGGAATAGTGTTGCAGACGTAGGTAAATTGGTGGAAACTTCTGCCCAAAAGATCAATTTCAACTTGGGAACTTTGCAAAAGGTAAAAAAGGAAGAGTTTATATCAAAATTCCAAAACTGGCAATTTCTCAAACTTGTAAAAAAGCAACTTTGCTAAAATGATATTGTTTTGGAAAAAATATGAGTGAAGCATTAGGTTTCGAGACAACTTCCCCAAATGTTATTATAGGTTGTTGGACTGCTTCTATTTTATTACACTTTACTCCAACAATAAAAAGCAATAGTGGAGAAGGGGACATCCAAAGCGCCTGAGCACCATACTAGGGATACTCCCAGTGAGTTCAGTATCATTCAATGTTAAAATGCACAATTTCTATACTTTCCTCTAAGAGGTTTATGTCCAACAGCTGGGAATTGCATCAGTACGTGTACAGAAATGCATGGCAATTACAATGTGTTTGCATGTTTGGAACTTGACTTGACTTGACTATGACATAAAAATCAAGAGAGTTCCAAATTATACCATTGTTTGAAATTTAAAACCCTTAAAAATGATATGTTGACTTTGAATTATTGAAGAATGTCTTGGGCATATCAAAATCATGGTCAAGTCATTTGCCAATACATTTTTTGCTGTGTAAACTGTAAAACGTATGTACCCAGATCTGCATTCTTATCATCAGTTATTAAAAGTTAATACCTGTACCAAGATGATGACTGATTGCCTGAACATGAATCCTTTCAAGGAAACACCAGCAATGTCCCTTAGAGTTCTTTAAACATTCGTCCATTACTCTGCCAATTTCCTGCAGATCTGCCAAGTATACTTTTGAAGTGTACTTGCTGAGGGCGTGTACCTTCACGAACCCAGAGACCTGATTGCCCACCCCAACGAGGATGGGGTATATAAAACTGCACCTGGACAGTTTGAGTCCTTTCCTAAACTGCTAACACCACTGCTCTCCATGGGTCTGGGTCATCACCCTTTATGAGTAACATATCACCCACTTCAGGAAAACAGGGAACAATAACACTGGAGAATGGAAAGCACTGTCTCTGAAAGTCGATACAAATGTAAATGCTTGGATCATTAAGATTTTCTGGATCTGGAAAAAGCATAACCTTCCGCTGGATTTTAGAAGAATGGACAATCTTTTCAGTACTTGATGGCCTTACTAAGGCTCCCTTGCTCCATTGGTGGAGTTGCTTTTCAGAGTTATAGATCACTGCCTGGAAGCAATCTCCAACAACAAATAAATGATATTCGTGGCTTACATTTGTCCTTAGCAGCTGAGTAATGGTTAAAACACATTCATCGCCATCTTCAGCAGAAACAATTATGTTTTCACCTACTCTATAAAGCATTCCTTTGTTGCCATTAACACTGGTGAAATAGATACAACGACATTCTTGTGCCACATCACTAAGGCTTTCACCTGTTATACCTTGATCCTGGCCAAATTGAGCAAGAATGGAATTCCTTTGCACTTCTTCAAACAAATGAATAGGTTTTGATGCTCCAACTAATATACCGTTAATTTTGGCCAGGTGATTTGCTTCATCACTGAAATGCTGTTTGGCATTTTCCAATTCAGCTAGAGATCCATAGTGTGCCTCCTTTGGATAAGAAACAGTTTCTGCAGAAGAGTTTCCTTGCGCTTTCAAGGAAGAACACACCTTAAGAACTTCTCTGTGCAACTCTGCCCTCGCAAAAGTTATTTCAATATTTTTGAAGTTGGTTGATATTGCAATATAGCGACCAACTGCACACTCAAAGTTGTAGGACCAAAA